AAATGGTTAATTATCCCTCGGTTAATTAACGGTTAATTAACGGTTAATTAACCAGGTTAATTAACGCCCATCCCTAGGCACGCGTCTGATTTACGGAAATTTGATTCTGTCAAAAAAAAACTTATTATTAATCATTCACACCGCAAATATTACTGTAATGCTCAAGGAAAAGGTGAACTTTTCAATAAACAATATCGTGCATGATCATGCTATAGTCACATTAGTTTTTAATTTCTATTCCTTTTCTCGTCTTAAGATTCAAAATTCATTACTTCAGTTTGAAGGATGGGAATTTGCTTTGAGCCCTGGACAATTTAATCTTATTTCGATCCTCCAATTCCGTCGTACGAAAGATGACTTCACGTACGATAAGTGTGCTGAGCATACTGAAATAAGTAAGTTCGTGTCATATGTTGCAGAAACCACAACAGATGAAAATTAGAAGAAAGTTGCTTCAGCTCTCAGCGAAGATGGAATGCTCAAAGTAAGTACTTTAGATTTGTTTTAAGAGAAAAATTGGATAGATACGGGATTGGACAATGTCGAAACAACCACCTAAGCGGCCAGACACTGTCAGGCTAGTTATGGAGACTCTCTGGTGGGTCCCGTCTTAAATCTGCGTGAAAGCTAGAGACATCGTCTCATGTTAAGAACACTGTTCGTTCGCAGTCCTAGTGATTTTCCAGCTCCAGATGTCTCTTTTTTGTTTCTAAAACTCACAATCATTTTATTTCCCAAGCGCCAAGCACAGCGAGAAGATGTTAAATTGTTCTGGATTATTATTGATAACGAAAAAGTCGACTTAGATAGACGTTTGTTGAAAAATAGGTTGGAGCAATCCAAGGTATGTTCGACACATACTGAGCTTCAATCTTCACAATAACCATATCAACCTTTTGTTGGCAGGCCCAGTTTGCTGTTGATCGTTATGTGTCAGGGAATGAAGCTCATATGATCGCAGACAAGGAAAAATTAAATTATATGTTGGCCCTTGATGTTCTCACAACACCACCACCCGGTACTTTTCTCACAACACAACCACCACCCGATACTTTTCTCACAACACCACCACCACCCGATACTTCTCTCACAACACCACCATCCGATACGCCACGAACACCAGAACACCAAATTTATCAAAAACAAGATGACTATTCCGAATCATTCGCTTCATCTGAAGGACAATCTCATGGATTTCTTTCTTCGGTAAATCCTAAAATTGTTTGTTTACCTTATTTGATACGAAGTTTGTTTGACCTTTTCCATAAAATTGTATTCGTGCGAATAGGATATTTCGGACGATTTGGTCGATTTGAGTAATTCAATTAAGGTAGTATATTTTTGTTTGGTAGTTGTATCTATAAACTTGTTTCTGATCTATGCAGTATTATTGTTTAAGTCAAATGATCATGACAACGACGAAGATGAGTTCGGCGTAAAAGATAAGGTTCTTTTCAAGCAGAGGTATTCTATTTTTATTTTGCATTTCAGTTGTGTTGCGAGTGATGACTAATTATTGTTGGATTTAGATTTGAAGCGTTGGACAACTCGAGGAAATGGAAATTGAAGTCGGGAAGATTTGTTGAAGATGTGCTTTACGAGCTTGGGATGCAATGCCGATACCATAAGTAAGAGTTGTGTCACATTATACTAAGCTGTTTTTTTGCATCCAAGGAGAAACTACTGATTTTTCATTTAGTCTTGTTCACTCTTTTATCATCGATACTGAGGATATCTTTATTAAGAATGAATTTTCAGAAGAGGAATTATCCGAAATTGTTGAAAAAAAGAAAGAACAAAGTATACCGGAAATCGACGAAGAGATTCTTGAATACATCAACACATTTGCCAAGGTAAGTTTGTTCTTTTATTGATCTTTTCTATGGTTATTTGTCCACTAACAGTTGCCTGTACAGAAATCTACCAAAGAAATACGAGAAGCTTTGAACACACCCCATCCCTATTAGGAAGAAATTATGACCCACATACTAATTTTATTTATGACCACATAAGAACTACGGTAACTGATTGGTAAGAGGCAAGGAAACTTTTATAGAATAAAGTTTTTCCTGCAATAGATTATTAACATACCAATATTGTACAGGGTTCGAATACTTGAGATGGAACCTAATCCTCTCACTATGGACATGCCAGAAGCATGGCACCGAATCAATGTCTGGCGAACGATCGATATAATGTTTTCCGATACACCTTATGTCTATGTTGTTGGGTAAGTAAAAATGCTTCATTCTTTTCAAATTCAAAGAAATTAAATTCTGACTTTGAAATGTAGAGGTGAAAAGGCCGGGTTGGCCTGTTCAGAACGAAAAAACCGATACAGAACTTTAGCAAATATAGGACCAACCCAGCGAAAAAAAACCGGTAAAAAGGGAGATGCATATGTCAGGACGATTGGTTCAACATCAACCGATTGGGCGGGGTCAGAAGCTGGACATAAATGGGATGGTCCACACGGCACCAAATTAATGAAAGAGTCTGGTCTTAGTTTACCGAGAACTCTTAAGGATATTTTCGTCCATCTCGCTGACAAGATTGGTTTCGAAGAACAAAAAATGAGAAAGCTGAACATAATTGGCTTTGTTCATGCAGGTTAGTATTTCTTGACCTTCTCAAATCAATTTTCTGAGATTTTAATAATTTTTTTTAAGGTGCGGTGTTGATGAGGGTCAGTCTTGATTGCCCGGCCGGGTACATTTGCCGGTACAGCAGGAGAAATCTACTAGAAGTCTACGCGGATGTAAGCAACTTCGGAAAATCTTTAGACGTGTTAGTTGAAATAATCCAAGCAAAGGTAAATATCCCATTTATGTGAGTCCTTAAGCATCTCTTGAAAGTAAGTTAACTTCTTTTCTAGCTCCTAATCCTACAAACGATGAAGATTGTGAATGATCTAGACAATAATAGTAATGTTTCAAGGTGGAAACAGCAGATGAAATCAAATTCAAAACGATCTCTTGATATGCCTGATGTCCATCCAACACCAAAGAAACGTAAAGACAAAGAAAAGGGAAAAAGGGAAGTCAAGAGTATGAGATTCTCAGTATATTATTACATAAACATTAGAATTGGACTTTACAGTATATTCGCAAGACAGTCATAAAACTAAGTCAAATTCACAACAATTACATTTATTTTTTTACATATAAAATTTATATACTTCATATGGTGACAATCTTAGCCGTGAAATTGCTGTAACAAATATATTTTACGCATCCACTGTACGCATACGTGATTTTTTTAATATAATATGAAATTTAAATAGATCATATATAGGTTAACTTAAGATGAAACGGATTATGTAATGGCCGAAATCTTAAAGAAGAAAGTTTGACAGTGTACTGCGCCGTTTCTTCTGTGCGATTTTGACGAGCTTGGAGCCTTAGACACCATGTCCAGACTCTACAATCAGAGATATAATAATGGTGGCTTAGTTACTGCGCAAAATCTGATTGGCCGATCTGTACCTCATCTCGTGATTTATCGAAACTCGCCAGCGCCTGGAACTCTCCTAGAACTATCGAGGAACTGGCAGGGAACTAGGGGAGATCTCATGTGATACGATATACAGTACATCATATCACAAACCAATTTAGCCGAAGGCGCTATGCATATGCATGTAAATATAAAATTAGCTTAACCGAGATATGGACCCTATATAAATCCCCGACATGCTTATAATCGAATAAAAATGAATTTGGATTTAGTATAGTATAACCTTGCTTAAATCAGCTATAAATTGATAAAAATCGCAGTGTAAACTCTATAAATCTCTTAATAGCTAAAATCATTAAATATGGTATATTCTGATCCCTATATACATTTAAGTGTAGCTGATTCACATATTAATTATGATCTTCCTAGAATGCGTGGGAATGAGACTCCATCAGATTGGAAAGATCGAATTTGGGACACATTAATGGTATATAAAAAAAATCACCTTTTAACTGATTATAATAAGAGATATCTTATTGCAAGAAAACAAACATATTTATTATATCAGTGTAATGTTTGGTTCGGAGTAAATATAGGAATATGCTATTCTTGTAATCAGCTCGTCTTTTCCAAATTAGGAAGCGGGTATGAGTATTTCCATGCATTCTTTATGGATAAGCATTGGCATACAAATTGTACTGGAAATGAATATTGTGATATGAGCTTCGAAGACTACAAGAAGCTGAAAAATAATCCTCCACCTTGCTATTTCACAAAGAAGGCAATCCGTCGATATGAGATGTGGTTGGAAAATGTATCAAATAGGATTAGACGTATCAGGCAAAAGCATAAGGTGCAAAGTAATGTAAACATTACGCCTAGCAAGCCTTACTATATTTATAACCAGCAAAAAAATATCTGTATGAACAATGCTTTCTTAACTCCTTTTTCAAAAAAGCCTGTTCAATATCAGAGTTACTATCCCAAAGAGAATCTTGGATGAATAAGCCACGTTCATTAACCCCTCCTCCTTTGCCACCAAAACCTGTTGCATTAATGGGCGGTCTTGAGAGATACCCTATGCGACGTAGTGTAAGTGCACCTGAAATTTCGGCCTATAGATTTGAGAGAAGCCGTATCTTGATTGATGCTGAGGAATATTTTAATTCTGTTCAAAATAATGCAAATAGGAGATAAAGTTAATATCTCTTAACTGAATAATAACATTATTTATCTCAACTATATTTAGCC